TATATATATATATATATATATATATATATATATATATATATATATATATATATATATATATATATATATATATATATGTATATATATATATTCTTATATTATTCATTTTTTATAAAATTTCTGTAATAGTCATTTTTGTTTCTCATTGCAAATACAATCATTGTTATTATATTTAAACAAAATATAATGTATCAATAGATAAGTCAGAATATACATTTGATTACATAAATATTTTGCGTGCACGCTTAAATTTACGCGCCAATGTAAATATTTATCTTAAATATCGATAATATGTATTACTTGTATATATATTATGGAAATTGCAAATAAAACGTCTGTTAAAAACTGACGAGAAATGAAAAATAAAAAATCTAGAACAAGACTATACTGTACAGTGAAATTATTTCAATAAGACTTTAGAAAAGTAGCGGTAGAACAACAATATGGTCCATTGTATAAAAATATTGGACAAACATTGCAGCTAAATGGATTTGATATAGTTTAAGCATCTTGAGTAGCTTTAACTTCCTTACCTACTATATCTAGAGCCATTTTACTCTTTTCTGTTGGTTCTGTGACTTGCACATACCTGGCAGTATCTATATTACTTAAAGATAGTCGTTCCAACAACTGTAGATCAGATGGTTCTAACTTTTCACCAAGTTGCCTCAAAGCACTCATGATCTCTCCACGTTGATGATCAGCAGTTTCTTTACTTAATTTTCCTAGTTTCACATCACGATCAATTTGTGCAAGATGTTCTTTAAGTAGACTCGGCTCACGTTTATCAAACATTCTTCTTACAGCTGATGTTTTGAAGGCTGTGCTGATTGCTGTTTCAGTTGCCTGTTAACAATTTGCGAAGACTAATATTTTGGATATTTGGATAGAAATATATTGTAATGTGTTTCATTACTAAGATGCATTAAAATGGAAAATGCATACCAATTGTATCGCACCAAGTTCATCAACCAAAGTCATATCTCCAGAAATCATTCTTTGTAGACTTTCATTGAATTCATAGAGTTGTTGCACAGTATCTTCTTTACACTCATGATAATCTGTTTCATCGAGTGTAACTCTGTTAAGATAAAATTTATGTATTATAATTAATGTGTCTATATTATATCACAAAGAAGCAAATGTAGAAATGAGAGATTTGAGAACTCGCCCCAAGTAGATTTACATATCTAAAGATGAGACAATAAATTAATAGCTGTTTTGAAACAATACCTATTATCTTCCAAATCTTGTAATTGTTGCACAAGCCGACTCAGTTGTTCTTTCAGGTTTTTCATGAGTCTGTCAGTCTCTGCTTTTCCATGAGAACTCATTTTCGTAAAATAAGATTGTAAAATGGAGTCAGAAGAAAAGATACTTTGTTGACGAAGAAGAATAACCTATCAAGGGTACTCTAGAGATACCGTTGATAAAGCTAGTATACAAAAAACCTTGTAAGACTACCATTTTGAAATTCACGACTGTGATTGGTCCATTTGATTGTACTTAATTATTTCTATGCGTTACAGCCTTAAGCAACATATTACCAACTGACTACACTCATTGGCCCTTTGATTGCAATCGTATAAAGCTCGTATATCACGAAGATGTAAAGAAGAGATACAAATAGGCACTGTTTTTCTCGAAATACGTTTATTTAGCACAAAGATTGCAAGGGAATCAGCACAGAGCGATAGAATTCAGCGATCAAGACAGTTGCGATATACCGAATTATATTGTTTCCCGCTATATATGTCGAGATGTCGCGTCAATCGAAATTTTATCCATTGCGATTGGTCGTGCGCGTTTCATCCTCTTTGCGTTACACCGTAGTACCCCGCGTCGCGGAAGATCCGTGCCGTAAATACGCTACGATCAGCGGATATTCTAGTAGACGTACATACCTATCGACGACGGGCACACAATCCTGGAATTTCTACTCTTAACAGGTATCGCGCGAATAACGACGGTAAAAGCGAGCGACCGAGTACGTGCGAGTCGCGAGCGGCGAACGCATACGCTCGCGAATGCGATAGCTGAACCGCAGACCGAGAGATTTTCGCGTCGTAACACTACGTCGTTGTCGCATCTCACCGAGCGGTCCTAGAACGTGCTGGCGAACGTGCCTGCGTGCGTATACGTGCGGACGTTTGTTCGAGCGAGTGAGCGAACGAGCGAGCAAACGACGTCAACGACGACGACATAACGACGTGCTCCGGATTCGGCTCCGAATGCGCGTCTTTGCGTCGCGGTGGCCGTTTATCACGCTCCTTTCTTTCACGCCGCGACGAGCGCGAGCCATCGTCATCGAGTCGCGCGTTCGCCAATAACAACGACGACAACGACGACAACGACGACCACAGGAACGGTTTACGTATAAGAGACACTGCGCGGACCGTTGTGCGAAGTGAAGACTCATCGCTCGCCGATAGACAAGACAAAGGCGGAAGCGACGTTCCAGAAGTGTATTCGCGAGAAATCTGCACACCGAGCACATCGCGAGGAGGATCTCTCGCGTGTAACCTCTTCGTGTACATGAATCTTTGCGAGTGAGTGCGCGCGCGCGCACGTACGTACGTACGTACATAGGCGTTGCGTGCCAACGATCAGGTCCGAGCGCGAGGCGCGCCGAGAAGGAGGAACACTGCCCCGATCGTTTCTACAAATCTCTCGCGGACTACGACTCGGTAAAACCGGCGGATACGACGGCGCTGAGGATTGATCTCGCGCGCTGGTTTTCATCGGACGTACGTAATCCATTCTCACGCACTGCGCAACGGCTATCAACGATAGTGCACTAACCATCGTGGGCCGTCAACACGTGAGAAAATAACGTACCTATGAGGTCCTCGTTGAGCCGCATAAGGCAGCAAGCTTCGAAGCAAGCCAGCTCGCAGCAGGGAGGTTCATGCCGGCGATGAGCATGCCGACGAAAGGGAAGCACCACCATCTGTCCCATCATCACCAGCAACACCATTCCCAGCAACAGCAGCAACACCAACAGCAGCAGGCCCATCATAATCCGCCGCAACATCAGCACCAATTGATCCTCAACGTCAACCAACCTGTCGTACATCCACCTCAAACGTACAGTGCGGTGGTAACGACGAACACGCCTCGATTCCTTCCGAATGCCGGTGAGTATACCTTTTCATTCGATTTATCTGACAAGAGGCGTGAGTCTCGTGCGCTTTGCGCTCTCTCGCTTTCGCATCTATTATCCGCCCGTGGCTTTTATTCGCGAATTTTACCCCGCCAAGCGCGACAGATTCTCCCCGAGATTTAGTTTTATCGCGCTTGATCATTGTCGCACAAGAATGTATGAATTCCTAAGGACCGTACGAGTGCGTGTATGCATGCGTGTGTGTGTGCGCGCGCGCACACACACACACACGTCGTGCGTGTCCACTCATAGCGCGGTCCTCGGCGAGTTATCATTGTGCCGATGTATGTATAGCCGATGCGCATGCACTTCGGAGCAAAAGTGTTATTTGAGGTTAGGACGACCACCACGCCATGTGGCTGTGTGTGCCGCGAGAGAACGGGAAAACGGCGATGTCCTTCCTTACTGTTGTACAACGTGTGTTTCTGTCTCCCTCTCGTTTCTTTCTTCCTCTCCTTTTCTTTTCACGTCCGCGCGCGCCCCGACAACCTTCGGCCGCTCGATTGTTTACTCGAACACGTCGACGCGCCATCCGATCTCGGAAATCTGAGAATCCGATGAAAATATCCGTCCGCACACCGTGTGTGCGTGCTGCTATCGTAAACACGCTTTTGCATTTTCGTTCCCATTCGACAACTCGCTACTTCCCCGTTCGCGGGTTTAATACGTGGCTCTGTCCGCGAAAGAGAAACTGTATTTCCGTCACCGCCTGGCTGTAATACCAAGTACGACAGGTCGGCCGTGCAAGTAGAACGGCGGCAATGCCTCTTTTCGTGGCTTCCGTAATCTCGTTAAAGCGTCGGCCTCTCGTACTTGGTCTGGTAATTATTGTTGGAATTATCAGTAGTAACTCAAACAATAGTCATTGTTAGCTTCTTTCTCCCTCCCTCCTTCTCTCTCTCTCTCTCTATTTATGTATTTATCTATCTACCTCACCACATAAGCTGAGTGGTATTTAGATAATTAGTAACATCACGATATACGTGTTTTGTTTCGAAAATAAATCGGAGATAGAATATTCGTCGAAATATATATATATATATATATATATATATAAATCCGCGTGTTATATATAAGAGAAACGAGAAATTTCGTTCGTTCTCTGAACAAACGAATAAATATGAACACACGGTTTTGTGCTCTCAAAACATCATAGATATATATTTACATCCGATACATACGCGGCACACATACATTTCGTGTATAAGAAATGTTATTCTCTCCGGAAACACGCGCGGAGCGATAACGATTTCAGGGGATCGAAGTGAGCGATTTAGCGAGTTAAATCGCGTTATCGAGGATTCGACTGAACATTGGGGCTGGAACGTGTGCTTTCACTTTCGTCTTGGCTCTCTACGGCTAATATGCATCGAGCATTCGCCGCTCATGAGCCTATGGCATGTCTAATATTTATCGAAGCGATCGGTCGCACTTATCATTCGTCTGGTCATTTCTTATATTAGCAACGTAGTCCTCTCTCTCTCTCTCTCTCTCTCTCTCTCTCTCTCTCTTGGAATTTGCGAAATAAATAGCGGGCAACAGACCGACGTAGAGTCCCGTCTCGTTTTCTTGCCACTTTTCATCCGGAGGCTCTCGCGACAAAACAAGGACGCGACTTTTCACTGCGCGAAACGAGCAGCCAGCGGACGGGTAATAAACGTGCGCGAAGAGGAGGACGAGGAGAGGAGAGACCGGGCACTATTGGCCGGCACGACGTGCGGCAAACTGTTGAATCGTGCCTATTAAAAGCGAAGGTGGGAGGCAGAAAGAGAGCTTCCTGCGTGTGGATCGCGACGTAGCGTCGCGACCGTCTCGAGGACGGTAAACCTACGACGACCACTTGCTGCTGCTGCTGCTGCTATCGATGCCCGGTCCCGGGAAACGGGGAGCGCGAATATGTAAACCGTGCGAAAGGATGTGCCGCGGGAGAGATAAATATTCATGACTTTTCCCCGGCTCGCGAATTTTTCCAGAACGATTGGAGATCGTGACCCGTCATACTCGGTAAAATTACGTCTTTCGCAACCGCAGTCAGACTTTTCACAGCGACAATACTAGAAACGACACATACACACACACACATTAATAAAAAACAAACACGCATCGCCAAACGAAACAGACGCGCGCAATTAAATTGCGATGCGCGCGTTTCTGTTACCGTTCGATGACATTCTTTCGGAGAGGTTCTTTTTTTTATCTACACCCATGGCGCAGAGGCACAATAATAAATTAATAGCAAGGCGCAGAAATGGAGAGAAAGCAAGAGAGATATATCGGAAGAATAGGACGCGAGAAAGACGGCGACGCAGTTAAGTGATACCGAAGTCTTACGAAGCCGACCGAGCGGCTGCTTCGGCTGATACATGTGGCAATCAGCCGTGCGGGGGGGTACACCCGTTTCTCTCTCTCGCTCAGCGAAACCTGGTGAAAACGCGAATCGCGAGCAATTTCGCGGCCGTCGCGAGTCCGCCGAGGTATCGTCCGTGCGCGAGTCATATACCACTGAGAGTGTCACCGTTACCGTTTGTCCCCCGGGTGATGGTCAGGCGGTACCCTGCGAGCCTTTCCCGCTGACGCTCGCTCAACTGGTACCGACTATCACGACGAGAGGTCCCTCTCTCTCAGGGACAGCTCGCGCCCGCGCGCGCTCGGCCTCTCGTAATCCGCGCCAAGTACCTTCGCGTCGCGCCTGCCACGAGACCATATGGTGGTGAAGCAGCGCGTGCCACGTTTCTCGTAGCGAGTGCCTCGTCGCGAGTGCGTCGTCAAAGACACCGAACGAGGGGCTTCAACCGTTGTCCCTCGATTCTATCCTCGTTCGTGTCGCGCCTTATACGCATGTTATCGAAGGCGCCGTCGGTGGTGTTTGACACCTTCACAAGCGACGACGCTAAGCAGCGCCGGTATCGTCCGGTTAACTCCGTCTCCTGGCGCTACTAACCCGCCTGAAAGCATCGCTCCTTCGAGAACACGACGCAAGAAAGAGGAAGGGAGAAGGAGAGAGAGAGAGAAAGAGAAAGATCGCCACGCCGCGTCGCGCCGCTCCATCGTTCGCTCTACGTGGAGGTTATATAATTTCCGCGAAGCGTTCCCTTCGCGTGGCACGACACGACGGCCACCCCGTTCGTCAGCATCAGTAATCCATACGTCGTAAAGTTGACATCGATACGCGCGCCCGTCATCGCGCGTAGCCACTACGCAATATCGGTACGTTATTTACGAGCGCGCAAGACACGATACGGCACGGCACGGCTCATGCGATCACGTATGTCACCGCGTGCCGACGCAGGGCTGGACGGTACCGCCGATAAAAGCAAAACAATGCGTCCGACCATCACGGCAACGTACTGTCGTCGTTAACGGTCAACCGAGCCAGCACGAGACGACGACGACGACGACGACGACGACTACTACGTCGACGCGTCGAACAGCAAACACGGCGGAAATGTCCACGGTAATAGGTAAGTCCATCAGCGTGTATGGCGCGTGTTCACGTCGCATCCTCGACGCGCTGCGTAACGGCGATTTTCTCCCCGTGCGTGCCACGCGACAGTCGTCCGTCCTGTCATAGCTTTTTCCCTCTGGCAGGGAAAGCTTGAAAAGGATGTGAAGCTTTTCCATGCGCGTTTTGCGCACTTTAATCATTGCGAATTTCGTATTTTCGCGCGCCCGCCAAAAGTCGTTTGTGCTCGGAAACGTGAGCCCCCTCGGGATTCCAGTGGTCTGTTCTTTTCAGCTGCACTGCTGAATTGGTGCAATAAGTTAGAGTAAGACAAGTATATGTTTTCTCACTCTAACTTATTGCACCAGTTCAGCAGTGCAGCTGAAAAGCACAGATCATAGATATTCGTCGCGTGATGCATTATCGACGCGTGATTAGCTGATTATTACGCGATTTGTGACGTTTGCCCGGGCCTTCGTAAGATGTCGCGCCGCGCCGCGTCGGCCCGCCAGGTGACGACTGGCCGTTGCGCCACGTGACGCACACCCTAGCTCGCCACCGCCGTCGATTCACGACCTGTCCGATATTTTCTGAATAGCCAATATTTCAAGCCGAGACACGCTTCTCTCGCGACACAGCAGCGATAAACACGTGTCTCGCATCGTCATTCTCGTCGTTGAACTGGCCGGCGAGTCGAGGGAGTCCGTTACTTTCGAAACTTCACGCGGACGTGTCAACATCTTTCGCCTCTTTTCAACTTTTCTCCATTGGGTCAAGTAAACACGAAACTTGGATTAAATAAAATTGACGTATTTGGATGAAATATAATAGTTTGTTCGCAATTTTGTGTTCATAATATCATAATATCTTCCCTCACTCCCGGTTCACTGTAATATAATGTTTACTCGCGTTCAATCGTAACGATTGGCGAATACGGGGAGCTCGCTATCCGACAAGTGGAAGCGCGATTAGGTACCTGGAACGAATCTCTCAGAATCAAAATGACGAGAATATCGAGATATGCGGTCACGTCGGTTTTTGTTGATACAATCACGTACTCGGCGGCTTATCTCCTTTTTTCTCTCTTTTTTTGCTTCTCGTCGCTGATAATAAGTAATATCTTAACGTTTTCATCAATAGGATAATTCGCGTTTGAGAGCGTTGTCGTTCTCGGCAACGTGCATTCTCTGGAGAATTCGAAAACATAACGGAAGAAACGACGGCTCGTGTACGCTGGGCGAAGCGTCTACCGAGATCGTCAAGGTCTCGTCGAGTCACGTCTCGTTGAGTAACGAACTCATTGTAAAGGGCATCGCGGATGGAATTGCATAACGCGCGCGACAGCCAATCAAACCGCGAACACGGTGTCGTCTAAGCTGTAGTTTTACGGTTTGAGATTAGACTACGCGTGTTGCGCTCATCGCGTGCCCGCGAAGCGCCGGTTTCTAATCCAGGAAAGATTGAACAGAGAGAAAGAGAAATAGAGATCTGCAAGTACGAGTCTTTAGAATTCACCTGAGTCCATCACGCAT